CCGGAGCCCAGCAGGTTGAGGCTGCGGTGGCCAGGAGCAGCCACTACACTCCAGTCTGCGCGACAGAGTGAGACTCCAACTTAAAAACAAAAACCAAAAAACAAAACATATGAAATGAGGCCGGGTGCAGTGGCTCAAGTCTGTAATCCCAGCACTCTGGGAGGCCGAGGTGAGAGGATTGCCTGAGCCCATGGTTCGAGACCAGCCTGGGCAACTTGGAGAGACCTAATCTCTACAACAAATAAAAAAATTAGCTGGGCATGGTGGCACATGCCTGTAGTTCCAGCTACTTGGAAGACTGAGGTGGAAGGATCAATCGCCTGAGGCCCAGCAGGTCAAGGCTATAGTGGCCATGAGTGTGTGGCTACACTCCAGCAAGGGCAATCAAATGAGACTCCGACTCAAAAATAAATAAATAAATAAATGTAAAAGGTAAGTGAGGGCCAGAGCGATGACTCACACCTGCAATCCCATCACTTTGGGAAGCCGAGGCACGAGGACTGCCTGAGTCCAGGGGTTCAAGACCAGCCTGAGCAACATGGTGAGACCTTGTCTGTACAATAAATCAAGAAACATTAGCTCGGCATGGTGGCACACACCTGTGGCTCCAGCTACTTGGAAGGCTCTCCTGAGCTTAGCAGGTCAAGGCTGTGGTGGCTGTGAGCGTACCATTACATTTCAGCCTCGGTGACTTCCATTAAAAAAAAAAAAAGTGAGACTATATCGCTTCTACATTCAAACCTTCTAAGAGCTTCCATCCTACTCATGATGAAAGGAGAGGTCCTCACCATCAACCACAGGGTTCTGCAACTTGTACCCTCACAACTAAAGCTGCTCTGATTCCTTCTTTCTTCCTGCTTCAGTATCTCTGTGTCTGCTACTTCCTCTGCCTGGAAAATGTTGGATATCTATGTGGGCCTCCCTAACCTCCTTTAGGTCTCTCCTCACAGGTCACCTCTTTAGTAAGACAGTTCATCTCTACAAATGTTATTTGTAATATATATATTTTTCTGAGTTAGAGTCTTTTTTTTTTTTTTGAGTTGGAGTCTCACTTTGTCACCTAGACTGGAGTGCAGTGGCCGCTTCTAGCCACTGCAGCCTCAACCTGCTGGGCTGTGGCGATCCTTCCGCCTCAGCCTTCCAAGTAGCTGGAACTACAGG